AGATTTATTATTATCATTATCCAGATCTATTCTATTATTGATTAAGATTTATTGATTTTATCAAGATTGTATTAAGTTATCAGATAATCTATATATGAAAATCTTTTTAATATGGTTTAATATATTGTTACTGTTACATTTTGGTGTGTTAGATTAGTTAAAACAGAAAGTTGCTATATCTATGCATGCAAGTGCCTCGGGAAGATACCAAATAAAATGAGACAAATACTAAATAGTGATTTTGTGGTAGGTTTGTATCATGTGGATTTTTTTATGATCTTTAAATATTAAATCTCCCGCGATACCATAAAACCTCATGGGCTGCCTGTGTTATATAGCTYAACCCCAGGCCTTCTCCAAGTAGATGAAAGTCGCCATTTTGAAAAGTTATCTGGGTTTTCGAACTGTCTTATTCTGTCTTTACATACATTCCAACAACAAACTAGCAATAATTTTCAAAAGACGTTKGTTACATACAGTAAAGGTACAAATTAGCGTCAAATATGAAGGGAGGATGTAAAATAGAGTTAGTTTGTTAGACTTTACGTCGCTGTGTCGTCCTGTGCACGTGGAGGATGAAGAAAGGGAAGACGGCCGTGCCGACCATACAGCAGATTAGTGCTGAGGCTATTACAAGGGTAAGAGATATATATGCGTTTATTTGGTTGATCCATATAAGTTAACTTGTGTAAATAGAAATGAGAAATCCTTCTGATATACTTAAGCTTACATGTTGTATATAAGCTGTGCACACTTTGTTCTGAATGCTTGCTCCATATTACTTTTGAAGAATAATTATCCAATGCTTGAAGACATTGGTTCTGAAGTAAATCTTTTGTGAACTTTTGCAGTCTAGGTGGAAAAATGTCAACAGATCCAAAATAATGGATCTATCAATTTCAAGCCTGAGGGAGAGGGATTGAAAGGCTGAGGATTTTGACATAAAAAAATGMCCAACAAGAATAAACACCCTTGTCACTAAGAAAAATCTCAATGAATCAATGAAATCTGTTAGAATGAAGACAATATAGAAAATAGTTTGGTCACCTACGATGGGGATGGGTCCCAGGGGATGGGAGGGGATGGGTCCCCTTCCCCCCTCGGGCTTAACATTGTCTCTACATGTTATGTGTACAGTAATAACGGTTTTAATAATGATCATTGTAGCTGGGGAATAAGTATTGGTCTCAAGGCCAGGGAAAAGCTCCATACGATGCAAAGGTAAAATAATGAAATAAAAAAAATTATTATGGTATAACTTGGTGCACTATTAAGTATTGWTTCTTTGTTTATTAAGATAACTGATAAAATCTACAATGAAGAAATCAAAGGAAGCAAGTAAGACATGTTTTCTTATAGTATTTTATGAGAATTTTCTTTCACAAATATTATAGAATACTATTATTTGACCAATCAAATTACTTGATTGAACAAACCCAAATTGTATTAGTTATAAGTGTGTCTAYTGTATTCTCATTGTTCCTTTGTTAGTTTTGATAATATTATTATAACCAACAATTATTTTCTAGGTTTTCTGTGCGTAAAATGATGCTATTGGAGTTCAGGTAATGGTGATTTATGCATACCATGCTTTATCTATCTTTATTAAATGGTTTCCATGCKTCTTTTCAGTCAATATCTTGAGAAGTACTTGTGGCCAAACTTTGATGCTTACAAGGTAATCTTATAATGTCAGTCATATTATGTTAAACAACTCTGGGATAAAAGATCTTCATTTTTGTACAAAATCAAACTGCAATTAATACCCACTTGCATGAGGTGTTTGAATTGATATTTTTATTGTTAATTTAGGCTTCACAAGCACACTTGATGTCAATAGTCATGATGGTCAATGAGAAGTTCAGAGAAGGTGTTCCATCATGGCAGGTTTGTTGACAACAAATTATTCTGTAATAATAAATGACAATAATSTTGATTGATATTACATCATAATAAGTCTTTCTAATCCTAACATTCTTGTACTRTCCAGATATTTAAAGAACATCCCAAACACTTTGCAGACTTTTTTCAYAAGGTTCTTGATATGTGTCTAATAGAAAATGAGAAAGTAAGTTTTAACCAACAGTTTGCTGAATGTCAAGTTACTTTTGTGTCTGATAATTTCAATGTCTATGGAACTACATTGTTATTTATTATTCTTGTCAGGAGATTTCTTTCAAAGAACAAACTGCTTTAGTGATTTTCCTGATTCATTGTTTTAATAGTTTGGTAAGTAAGCAAATTCACTTTTAAAGATGAAAGGTTAATAAAATCAGACTAGTAATGTTCRTCTACAGTGTGCATCATGCAGGATCTGGTAATGATTTCTATTGTAAAAGTCATTCCTGGTCAATCTAACTTWTATTTTTAGGAAATGGACCAGATCCGTGATCAGATTCAGCACATGGTATCYATTTCTATCTGGAACAACCTTCTTCCTGTAAGTATACCTTTTACTGTAATCCTGACCATGTTATATCTTCATTGTATCTATTTATTACTTTTCTAATGGCAGTCCCGTCTTGAACTGGAACTAAAAGCTGTTCCCAAGTATAAAAAATATTGGAATCATATCAAGCGAAAAGAAAATTCAGAAGATGAAGAAACAAAGCTAAGGTGATTTTTATAGGTTTATCCATCAAAGCAGTGATCCATGTATTCCAATCTATCCCTTTTATATAGCCATCCATCTATTCATCCATCCATTTAACCACTTTTGTTTCTTTCATTTGCAAACTTTCATGCAAACTCTTCACATGCATTTTAAATTTTTATTTATAAAATATTTCAGACAAAATAAACTGAGGTCCTTCTTGTCAAAATTCCTTCACAAGTTCCTATCAGTTCTTGAAAGCATCCCAGMAACAGGTAAAGACACAAGATTGTGGATGATTATTTATGAACACTTGTAATGTTTCATTATTTATTTATTTTTTCAATCTCYTGTGACTTCAGAGCCAGTAAGCATGGACAAAGTCCATTTTTGTGAGAGGTTTCTGGAATTGTTGATAGACTTAGAGGTASAGTTGCTTCTTATTTRCAGAGTGAGAGTTTTTCATTTTTCAAGTGTCATGATTTTTTTCTGTTGTTTTTCCATAGGCTTTGCTTCCWACTCGGCGTTTCTTCAACACTTTACTAGATGATCACCATGTCATGGTAAAATGTAGAATGTCAAACCTTACTAGTAGAGAGAAAGAAGGCAAGCTCTTTAATCAGGTCTGTAAAACATGTATTGTTAATTTGAGAAGTAATCTTGCAAGAGTTTATTCATTGACTGTTCATTATGTTTCAGCTTCTTGATATGCTRAAGTTTTACACAGGATTTGAAATAAGTGATGTAACAGGTAAATATTCTGATTGGCTGATAATACATGGTCTTTGATTGGCTCAAGGTTGAATGATAGGTTTACAGTTAATGGGTTGTGWTTGGYTTATGATWGATGGATTGCAATAGGRTTTTGGTTGATGGATTGCCATTGGTTTATATTTAATGGATTGTGATTGKTTCATGAGTTTCATTTTGTCTTGGTAAGGTATGCCACTCACAGACCATGAAATGGTGGATATYCATTATGACAAGATGGCTTCACTCCAGGTAARTTTTTCTGCCTTTTTARGAATCTTAGCCAATGACATTGTAGTCCTSTCCCATCAMTGTTTTTKTTTTCATTCTAGAGAGCTGTTTTCAAGTATTTCCCAGAACTACAAGAATTTGCCATGAGCAACATTGCTGGCATTGACACAAGAGATGCTTTACTCACTCACTTTGGGAAGTTAACGTAAGCATTTATGCAACTAGTTATTGATAATTATGAATTTGAATAATACTTGGCTAAAATTATGTTTAGTTTATTGATGTAATTTTATTGATTTGATTGATGTATTTAGATGTGGGACATTACATGAAATTGCTGCGTATCTCAAGCTTCTCCCTTCTCCTAATACGGAATTTGTAGAGCAAAACAAAGACTTTCTGCTGGAAATGCTGGTTTGTTATTATTGCTGATATATTTTTTATTTTCATTTTATATGAGTGATTTTGAGAAATGACTTTGCTTGAGTGAGTTCAAGAAATATCATGTGAGAGTTTGGGTGTGAGATATTGAAGGTGATGCATTAAAAGTGTTGCATCAAGAGTGTTGCTTTGCAAGTAATAGTCTAGTAAGAATTTGCAAGTGACTCATTGCAAGTGATGCATTGGGAGTGACTCATTGTGACTAATGTTTTCCAAGTGATTGAGTTAGTTATCTCTCTCATAATAATTACATGATGCTTAAAAGATATCCATGTTATTTGTGTCAGGTTTCTCGTCATGAGAGAAGRTTATCACAGATTGATGCAATCAATGAAATGCCACTTTATCCTACTGAACAGGTTCATGATACAGTCGTATATCTTRCAATGTGATATATATATAGCTCAATACTGAGCTAAGAATAGTCTTTGTGTCTCAAATAGTATTGAAAACTATGATAAGCAAGTATGTTGTGACAAAATTAGTTATTTATTATATAATAATTGATTAATTATTGAAATGTTTGTTTGTCATTAAAATTTACTTGACATTTTTATTTGTAGATTTTATGGGATGAAAATATTGTTCCTACYCAATACTACTCTGGAGAAGGTATTGCCTTACTTATTACATGYAGTTTAAGGCTCTTTTAACAATTGTTTCTGGTTTTAGATTGCCTTGCTCTTCCYAAGCTGAACCTGCAATTCCTGACACTRCATGACTATTTACTACGTAACCTCAATCTTTTTAGACTGGAATCAACATGTAAGCTGTGTAGTTTTATGAATTTTATGTTAAAAACATTTGAAATTCAYTTCATGTTTCATAACATGTTATAGATGAGATAAGACAAGATGTTGAAGATGTTSTAGCAAGAATGAAGCCATGGTATGTTCAATTATGTTTCATCTTGAGTTATTTGCCCTCTCAGCAAGACAAGGGATTCTTAACAAAGGAATTTTTTTTTCAGGGTAAATGAATCTGATATGACAGAGTTTGCTGGCTGGGCCAGGATGGGAACTGTAAGTTCGTTGTATATTACTGTTTTCTTTTCATTCATGTATCATGTTTTCCATTCATGTCTTGTTTAAGAAAATCATGCATTATTTTTTCTTGCAGAAAATAGAACACTTCAGTGTGGTTGAGGTAAATCATTCTTTGTTGTTGTTACTCTATTTTATATGTATTTAATAATGTGATATATTTAGGTGTCTAAACCAAACATTGGCGAAAACAGGCCCTCAGTAGTTAGAGCTGACATTACTATCAATGTTAGCATGAGAGATGAAGTCAGGATGGAATGGGAAAGTATGTTTGTACATGTATTCTGCCATATTTGTTCATTCATTCAGTTTTTCAATTCATTCCTCAATTCATTCATTATTTCTATTTTCTCTCTTATTGATTTTAGGTCTTCGTAAGCATGATATCATATTTCTGTTAACTGTCAGACCAACACAGACAACGTTTCGATATAAATATGACAGGACCAAACCATTCAGAGAGCAGGTATACCTACCTTTCACTGCATCTTAGATTGAATAAAAAATAGAAGAAATCTAGAGATTTACAATGTGTTGAATCATCATTTTCTCTTTAGTTTGGTTTGGATTATGTTAGAGGTGCTGAAGTAGAAGGAATGTTGGATGAACAAGGCAAAGTGATTGAAGAAGGTAATGTAACCAGGTGCTGAGCAACTGGATATTTCTTTTTACACCTACAAGTGATTTCATTCSAAAAATCACAGTTAACGGAAAGGAAATAGTTGGGTGCAGTGGTTACAATTGATTATTTCGCTGGTTTTGAATAGGTCCTGAACCCAAGCCAGAGATAAAAGGTGATAAGCGTACATTTAGAGTATGGTTGGATACCAATCAGTATCAACAGGATATGTCACTTGCTGCTCAGGGATCTGAGGTACATATCTTCATCATTGTTGAACTGTCGCATAGATTATGTTCATGTTGGTTTTTCATAATTACAGGATGTTTATGAAACTTTCAATGTCTTGATGAGAAGGAAACCCAAAGAGAATAACTTTAAGGTAAGTTTCTCTTTTACTACATATTCCTGTTGTTTTGCTTTCTTACTTCTTCATACTGCTTTTTTCAATCAATCCATCTATTGGTCACCCATTCATTTTTTCTCTAATTAATTTGGTGAATCATGTGTCTACTCATTTGTTTACTTATTCATTCACTTATTCATGTTTCGTTCACTTTGTCAATCAATTTATCATTTGATTAAGTATCTTGTGCTGGTTTTGTTGTCAGGCTGTCCTTGAGACCATCAGAGATATGATGAATGCTGAATGTGTTGTTCCAGAGTGGCTGCATGACATATTTCTTGGTTATGATGATCCATCGGCAGCTCACTACAGCAAGTAAGCACTGAATATCTAATGCTAGTTAAAAAACAAACTAAAATAGAATGATATTTTTACACGTCAAATATAATTTTCTTACACAGAATGTCAAATCAGATCAAGAGTTTGAACTTTAATGACACATTCCTGAACTACGAACATCTTGTACAGAGTTTTCCACAGTATGAAGTCAAGGTAAAGCAACTATGCTGGTTAAATGTTAAGAACCTCTCTTTTCCCAAGTGCAGAATTCTTATGGTACACAAGTTTGGGTTCCTGTGGCATAACATAGAAAACCCAATGATTAGGGAAACTATTCCTACTTCACCTCACTTTTTCACTATTATTTCATTTGTACATTCACTCCGTTTTTGTGATGAAGGATGAAAATCAGTGAAACTGAGGAAAACTTTTAGCAAAGGAGAGAACAATACATCAAACAGACTCAACTCACATATGAGATACATGTATGAATGACTCAAAACATGTTCCATCACTTAATTTTATCACTATAAACGCAATAACTTTATTTATTGAATGAATCTATTGTTTTTTAGTGTACAACTAGTAATGATGCAGACAGAATCCCTCCTTTCAGGTGTGTATTGACATCAGTTGAGGTGATGAATGATGATGATGAATAATGATGATGAATATTCTTGACATGCATCCATCTCATTTAAATCATTTTTTTTTTTTCATTTATCAGGATAACATTTCCAGACTCAAGCTCATCTAAGAAAAGAAAACATGATGAAGAAAAACCCAACACAGACAAACAAGAAATCATTGTTGAACCTTTCCAAGTTCCAAACAGAGGACCTTATCCATTCAATCAACCTAAAAAGTAAGATTTGTAATCTTTTGTTATCCAAGATAGTGTGTTTTCAATCTTAGATAGAATTCACAATTRATAGAGATGTAACTTGGTCTGTTATACAGAAATGCAGTTCCATTTACACCAACCCAAGTAGAAGCAATTCGTGCAGGAATGCAGCCWGGRTTRACTATGGTATGTAYATTGACATTAACCATAAATTAAGATTATTTTCTTATAGTTCAGACGTTTTTGTGTAGGTTATAGGACCACCTGGTACTGGMAAAACAGATGTTGCCGTTCAAATCATCTCAAACCTTTACCACAATTTCCCTGAACAACGAACTCTACTTGTCACACATTCAAATCAGGTAAACAATGGAAAAAATCATTGYCTAGCATAGGGTACTATAAAGTGATTTGTACTTCATGCACWTTAGGCCTGGGGCRTGTCCTACCTTATGACTCTGTCTCATTGTTAWTCACTGTGCATAAAGTTAGTTCAGCTTGTCGCCTTTCTTGACTGTACAAAGTGTCACTGAAAGTGAATCAAGMTGATACATGTATTTGTAGAGAAYTTTAACTGTTCTGTTAAGAACAACACTGTTTTATAAGCACTTTCCAATGAATTTCAAAAAATTCAATTCTTTGTTGTTCAACTCAAAATTGCCCTTTCTTCATTCAGGCTCTCAATCAGTTATTTGAGAAAATTATGGCATTAGACATTGATGAAAGACATCTATTACGTCTTGGTCATGGTGAAGAAACCCTAGAAACTGAGAAAGATTTTAGCAGGTAAAGTTTTGCAGTGATTTGCAGTGTCAGTGGAGACTATTATGACTAATAAATAGTTCTGTTATTATTGTTCTATATTATRGTTTATCTACAGTTTTTCCTTCACATTGMATTAAATATTAATATATTTGTATATTGGAGGGTTAAGAAAATGGATAGTGTTTTAGATATCCTATCTGTTGATATTGCCCTCCAACAGTATAGAGCAGGAGAGCACACATTAGCTTGAGTTACCAGCTATTGTATACTTACCCTGCTTACAATCTCTGTCAAGTAGATGGGATGCTAGTATTCATGTAACTAATCACTAACATGAAGGGGTTTCTGTTTATACTTACCCTGCTTGTAATCTCAAGTAATGATATGTCATAATATTGTATACTTACCCTGCTTACAATCTCTGTCAAGTAGATGGGATGCTAGTATTCATGTAACTAATCACTAACATGAAGGGGTAGTTTCTGTTTATACTTACCCTGCTTACAATCTCAAGTAATGATATGCTTATAATCATGTAAGTTAAGACTCTTAACAATACAAGAGGATTTCTGTTTATGAATCAGGTATGGTAGAGTAAACTTTGTCTTAGCAACAAGATTAGATCTTCTCAAGGAAGTGCAGAGGCTTCAGGTTTGTACGTTCACACATGGCTTTATATCATGTTATTTTTGACATAAGGGCTTTATGTGAGTTTGAGTTTGTTTGATGTGTTGTCCTCTCCCTTGCCACGAGGGTTTTTCTCCGGGTCCTCCGGTTTTCCTCCCTCAGTAAAAATCAACWTGTGAGGAGTGTGGTGTGCTAAAATACTTAATGTAGAGGTAGTGAGTGTGAGAGTACAGGGCCCGCAGTAATTGGCTCACGCTGTTGCGGTGTCCCTGCCCATACTAGGGGCAAAGCTAATAAATTAAATTAAATTTAAATTTAAACTGTCCTCAAAATGAAAAGACGGAATTTGTTCTTATCCATCTTTTCTGTGTCCAGGAAAGTCTTGGTGTCCATGGTGATGTGTCATATACTTGTGAAACTGCTGGTTATTTCTACTTGTACCAGGTAATACAATTGGTTATAACGATATATAATGAATTAACATTCTCCCATATGGACCTGAGATAAGGGTTTTGTCAGACAAGAAAACTGTTCATAACATCCTTATCAAGGTTTGTGATGTAACACATTACTTAAATTCTCTACAGGTAGTATCGCGATGGGAAGAATACAAAAGCAAACTAAAAAACAAGGCAAGAAAACAATGATAGTCCTACTGCGATTGTGAAGTAATTATGATAGATTAACGCTATTGTATTGTTGATGTAGAAAGGTGACATAGCAGCCGTTGCTGATCTTTTTCCTTTCAAAGTATTCTTCTCCAATGCACCACAGGTATCCCATTAAGTTAATTATTACTTAAATTATTTCTTGGCTGTGTTAACGTTATTATATTGAATCTTTAGCCCATCTTTAAGGGGAAGTCATTAGAAGAAGATACAGAGATAATGGAGGTACAACAGTAATTTTTGATCACTAAAAAAATGTTATCGTTATGACGAAGCATATTGTCACATCAATTGCACATTAGGCCTGGGGCGTGTCCTACCTTATGACTCTGTCTCATTGTTATTCACTGTGCATAAAGTTAGTTCAACTTGTCGCCTTTCTTGACTGTACAAAGTGTCATTGAAAGTGAATCAAGATGATACATACGTGATAAGGTTCATAAAAACTGTCAGTCAAAAGAAATGTACTAACTGTATTTTATATGTTTGTTCTGTAGGGTTGCTATCGTTATATCAGGAAGATATTCCAGCAGCTTGAGGTATGAATGAAACATCGTCAAGAACAATTATCMACAAACATGTTACTTATTGTCTTTTGTGTTTAACAGGAATTTCGAGCATTTGAGCTACTTCGCAGTGGTAAGTCACAACATTGTTGTCTTATAATAAAGTTGATCAGTACTATGATTTGTTAATTGTTTGCATTAAGGACGTGAACGAACAAACTATCTTCTGGTGAAGGAAGCAAAGATTATTGCCATGACTTGTACACATGCTGCGCTCAAACGAAGGGATTTAGTAGAACTTGGCTTTAAGGTATCTTATCTGAGTACTTTATGTTTTATTGATGTCTTCCTATGTTTGATTGTCTGTCTGTAACATTGCAGTATGATAATGTCTTGATGGAAGAGGCTGCTCAGATATTAGAAATAGAAACGTTTATACCTCTACTACTGCAGGTAAAATTGTTGTTGATTTTATTTGACATTATTGTGCATCTACTCGTTAGTTAATTATTCCTTTTTCTTCTTTTGCTTCACTACTTCTTGTGTTATTTCTTCTATTTAATTCATCTATTCCATTTATCTTCTCATTCCATTCATCTTTTTTTGCATTTCATTCCATTTGACTTGTGCCATTTTAATAATTTTTTTTCTTTCAGAATCCAGAAGATGGTTATAATCGTTTAAAACGTGTCGTACTGATCGGTGACCATAATCAGGTAATATCAATGTATGTGTAAATCAACAATGTTGCATGTTATATTGTATTTATCTATTTCAGCTTCCTCCAGTCATCAAAAACATGGCGTTCCAAAAGTTTTCCAACATGGAGCAGTCTTTGTTCACGAGGTTTGTCCGTTTGGGAGTGACAACAGTACAGCTTGATGCCCAGGGACGTGCCAGACCAAGGTACGTCATCTATCGTTATTATTATTAACCTTCTATTGCTTGCTTTTGATAGTTAAGTGATGGACGGAGCCCAGTCGGGTCTATTTAAATGTACAATAGTACGAATGCAAACGATTAAGCTAAAGCTAAAGCTTGGTAATATCATCCTTTTTCAGCTTGTGTAGCCTGTACAACTGGCGTTACAAGAATCTAGGCAACCTTCCGCATGTTGTTACATGGCCAGAATATCGAATTGAAAACCCTGGYTTTCACTTCGATTATCAGTTGATTGACGTTCAAGACTTTAATGGCGTCGGAGAATCRGAACCAAACCCTTACTTCTATCAGAATCTTGGTGAAGCAGAGTATTCTGTGGCCATCTTCATGTACATGAGACTAATTGGAATACCAGCAGACAAAATAGCAATATTAACAACTTACAATGGTCAAAAGCACTTGATACGAGATGTTATCAACCAGAGATGTGCAAACAACCCTCTCATTGGACGGCCTAGCAAGGTATTGTTTRAAAACCTCGCTTTAAACGACCKCTGTCATAATAGTTKCCCGTTATTAGAGGTGGTCTTATTCWAAATAGATGTTTGCACATTAGGCCTGGGGCGYGTCCTACCCTRTGACTCTGTCTCATTGTTATTCAGTGTGCATAAAGTTAGTTCAGCTTGTCGCCTTTCKTGACTGTACAAAGTGTCACTGAAAGTGAATCAAGATGATACAAGTTCCTGTATTATTCACTTGAATAACAAAAACAACTAACACATATTAAAGGTCTTCTGTTGTCATGGATGCAAAAACCAATATTTATCTCCTAGGTAACCACTGTGGATCGTTACCAAGGACAACAGAACGATTACATCATCCTGTCGTTAGTACGTACTAAAGCAGTAGGTCACCTTCGTGACGTACGTCGTCTCGTGGTCGCCATGTCACGTGCTAGACTTGGTCTGTACATTTTAGCTCGTGTTGGGTTGTTTAGCAACTGTTTTGAACTCAGTCCTGCATTTAACCAGGTATAGTTATATTTGTTGTGCACTTTGCGAATGACAGGGGCGGACCCAGCATTTTATAGGGGGGCTGCTTTTGTCAGTAATATATAGATAAAAACTAAGTATAGCAGATGGAACTGATCGTTTTTGTTAGCTGCGTATTGTCTATAGCAAGAAAATTATGCGCAATTTGACAGGAATCAAATTGACTTTGCAACATATTTTTGACTACACTACTCAATTGTTAAGCAGCGTAGAGGAAGACACATGTTGTGCATGCAATAGCTACTCGTTTTCTCGATTAAATACAAACAGGAGTAGTTATAAACAGCAGAAAAAGCATTAATGTTTTGATATATACAAAAATTACATCCAAAGCACCTCCCTTGGATCCGCTCCTGAATGATATGTGGTATTTTTCGGCTTCTCTAACTCTTGGTTGATTTTCAGCTAACTCAAAGACCACTCCAGCTTTACCTTGCTCCACATGAGAGATATCCATCAATGAGACCGGTAAGAACACCATTCCACATTAGGCCTGGGACGTGTCCTAACATGTGACTCTGTCCCATGTTGTTCCGGCACTATGCATAAATATGCTGTCATAGTTACAGTGCTTTTTGTTTTAGATTGGAACTCAACCTTCAGAGACTCCTCTCATCATCACCAATATGGTACACATGCATCAATTTGTGTACGACTTCTATAAGGACCGTGTGCGGGAACTTCAAGCACACTCTCAGGTACACTATTCTGTTAAATCTTGTAGATAGAGTACGGCTTGTAGATAGACTACGGCTTGTAGATAGAGTACGGCTTGTAGATATTTTGGTTCGATGACTATGTACAAAAGAACGCGCGCGAGGCTCCGTGAAAACAGTGGATAATCTTGATTTTTTCTTTTATTTCCCCGTAGACTCGTCTGCAATTCTTTTGTGCATGGTCACTGAACCAAAATATCTTAAGTCGGCTATTGATTCATACTGACGTATTTCTATTTTATAGCAAAGTGAATCAATTCCACAACCACCTAAACAAGACGAACAATTGACGGTCTCCGAAGAAAAAGAAGAAGAAGAAAAGCCGAATGAAGTCAAGAAAGAGGAAGGCACTCCCATTGTAAATGAAGTTGAAATGGGAGAAACAAAAGTTGACCAGTAAACCAATAGACGGACAGCCTTAAACTTGACACGGATGACATGTTTGTTGAGTTTTCTCATGCCTGTCTTAAAACAAATAACTGTATATAATAGACCTGTTAAACAAGTTTTACAGTATGTACAATCGTGAACGACATGAACAGCCGGTTTGTAGAATGGCTGACTGTGATAATAGACTGTGGTAATATATGTCGTATTATGGGGACAGCAGTAATTTATATTCTACATTTATAATGTTTTCAGTCAACAAAAAATATAATTTTGTACTTTTGTTCCTGTATCATTTGCGTTATTRGTATTAGTCCTCTCCGTCCTGAATATAGCGCGGCAGGGAAGCCCTGGGAATCAGTGTTTTCATTGGTCAACGTAACTCGTAATAAGGAAGGCGCGCGAATCATTTTGAACTAAGTTTACGCAAGGGAAATTTGGATAACGAGATTTTCAAATTGGATTGTTGAAAGTGCAGAATAACATAACAAAACCAGAAAAGGAGCAGAGAGAATGCAGCCTAAAGTTTGCAAACCTAAAGATAAAAGTATTCATGACCTCCAGAATGATCCTTTCCTTTGGTAGGTTGACAAAAGAAAATTCACAGGAAATGCTTTCGCACTTCATAAGTTTTGACAACTTGCATGTTTCTCAGAAGTAATGTTCTGTACAAATTTCTTCGTCAAACTCAGTGCGGATAACTGTATTGCTTTTGGTTATTATTATACGGTGTTACAGTCTATATTTTCTCAGTTCTGTTGGTCTGATATTTCCATTTGCTCACAGTATCTACAAAAGAAGATATTGCCGCGTACAATACCGAATACTACAACCTTCATTCCAGGAAATCCAGGAAAACATGAGAACCTTTTACAGTCAGTTCACATATAATTATGATGTGCGTCCAGCTGAGGAAGAAAGCGCTGTCGGAAAGTTATAAATTGTATCGACTTTTGTGCATTGTTAAAAGACGTTTTAGTTTTTAGGCTGGAATAAAATTTTCTAAATGACTTTCTTTTCGGTTCGTTTCCAAGGGTCTCTGGACGGGGCTGCACGGTTTTTCACGTAAAATTCTTTCGAATCACGCTTTGACCAGGCGCGCCTGCGCTTTGACGGACGTGCTTTCACGCTTCAATTAAATATCTAAAAAATTGCATTTCATTGAATTTGTGTGTGTGTGTGTTTTAAAAAGTACGGGATATCAAACTTTTAGAGATACAAAAATCACGCTAGCGCTATAAAATATTTTTTTTATTTTTTCACGCCTATTATATGACGGTTATTTTTTTGACCTTTCGCGTCTCACGGCATCCTCACGAACCCGGGTGTAATCTCTGTCGTTCGTTCCTCACTCCCAAAAATAAGAAAATTACGCCTAGTATCGAGGACGGGTTCACAGTTTCTGTCTCGGTCCTCTTCATGCAGTGCTCTCGTTCAGTCTTTGATCAGTAATCCGAAACAAACCGACAGGTTTCCGACATTCCTCCGACGATTGCTACAACATTGATCGGGCGAATGGCTGCGCTTTGTAAGAATCCAATATGGCCGAAGTAAACGGAGAAGTGGAAGTAAGAAATTCGCTTACTTTATTTGAAATTTCGTTTGTAGATACCAACCAAGCAAAAGATTTGATAAAAAATATATTTTTCTTTCAGATTGATATAACTGAGGGGTGTAGAATGCCTGTCCGAATGAATAATTCTGACGAATGGCGTAAGTGTTTGAGTAAAAAATTGGCGCCTTTCGAATATTTGAAAGGTCATTTTAACTTTAATATCGCTCTTTTGCTTTAATATACTGTTTTCTTTTGTTTCAGCTCTTGCTGAAATTATTAGTAAAAGGCAGTCGACGGATGGATGGGAGTATTACGTTCATTACATCGATTGTAAGTAACTTTTTATATATTTTGATAGTTAGGGGTGTTAGACGAAACATCAACCTTAGAATTTTGTTACTTATTCTTGGAAAAAGGGAAGGAAACATTCAATCACATAATGTGTGAGTTGTTTAAAAACGGTTTTCCATGTTATAATAGTCTAAGTCTTAGTCTTTTGTGCTTTTTAAATAATTTTTTCCAATTATCAAAAACAAGATGGCGGACGAACAAGTTCCTATCCCAAGATGCATTGCGGTGTTCCATTTCTTTTGATCAGAAAATTCTGAATAATAGACTTTTCAAAAAATTAGTTTTTTCATGCAGTTAAATGAGAAATTAATTTTTTTTATAGTTAATAAAAGATTGGATGAATGGGTATCAGATGATAGACTAAACAAGAGAAAAATAACCCTCCCAAAGAAGGAAGATCTTAAAAAGCTTAGTAAAGGCTCTGCCGGCAGCAGACCTCCTTCACCAGAAAGAGAGCTTGTAAATGGCACTGGGGCAAGGCCAAAATCAGTCATTGGTCGCAAGAGGAAAGCTAATGCTAGTGAAAAAGTATCAGATGACATAATTGTAAGTGTCTGTTATAATTTGATGACTCTCCAGAGATATTTTTATGGCTAACAATGGAGTTTCATGGACATATAGTGTATTTGCAAAAGCATTTTTTTTWAAATTTATTTTATCAAGTAAATAATTCAAACATGTAATTCTTTTTGTACTTCTCCAATAAAATCGTTTTTCTATTATCAGCTGGAAAGTCAAGACAGCCCTACAAAAGATACTCCGCCTAAAATCAGCAGTCTTCGTAACCATGGCAGCATGGTGCATGATAGAAGTAATGACGACATTGTTACAAGAATGAAAAACATTCAAATGGTTCAGTTGGGTAAATTCAGGATACGACCATGGTACTTCTCACCATATCCTCAAGAGTTCACCAAGCTACCTTTGATCTATCTTTGTGAATTCTGCTTGAAGTTTGTTAAGAGTTTTATATGCTTAAAAAGACACATGGTAAGTGAAATACAGACATATAATATAAAGTTTTAGTTCTCCCAAAATAATTATTTCTTTATTCCAGGAAAAGTGCACTCTTTATCATCCACCTGGCAATGAAATCTACAGAAACGGAACTATTTCATTCTTTGAGATAGATGGAAGGAAGAACAAGGCAAGTTTAAGAGCCTGTCTTACAAACTAAAATTGTCATACAATCAATACTAATTATTAACTGTTTTGTGTAGATTTATGCGCAAAACCTTTGTCTACTTGCAAAGATGTTTCTGGACCATAAAACTCTATACTACGACACAGATCCTTTCTTATTTTACATCATGACAGAAAGAGATTCTTCTGGATTTCATATTGTTGGGTTTTTCTCAAAGGTATTTAGTTTTTACTCTCTTATCCTGGCTCTTATATGATTTTTAATTATCAGCAATTAAATATTCTTTTGGATATGAATACAGTCACTGCAAGCTGTAGGAATATTTGTCTTTTCAAAATGCTATTGTAGCAGTCAGAGCAATATTACTGGTAGTAATGATGTRAATTATGTATTTTTCATTATTAAAACACACTTTTCATCACTCTTTCAGGAAAAAGAATCAACTGAAGATTATAATGTTGCATGTATTTTAACCCTGCCACAACATCAAAGAAAGGGATATGGAAAGCTTCTTATAGAATTCAGTACGCAGCACAAATGTTTGTTGTATGTTTTGGTTGATAATCATAAATAATTGATTTTTGTCTTCACAAAGGTTATGAACTGTCAAAGTTTGAAGGAAAAACAGGGACACCAGAGAAACCATTATCAGACCTCGGGCTTCTTTCTTACAGAAGCTACTGGTCACAGACAATTCTAGAAATATTAGTGGAATTAAAATCAGAAGACGGCAGTCCCCCTTCTATAACAATTAAGTATGTACATGTATGATGTTTGGCAGTAGATTTGTGTACAAATGGATTTAATTTGGACTTAAATAAAATGTGTTGATTTATGGTTGTGTACTTGGTAGTACTAAAATATTCTAAATTGTTTCATGGACAGTATATCCAGWAAGCAATGATTTGCTGACCAGTGTTGTCAGGGTTAATAGGTTTGTTGTGATCATTAATATTACAAGTCTAATTTTAATTTATCTTTTTATTAGTGAAATTTGTGAGCTGACAAGCATACGCAAGGAAGATGTAGTATCAACACTGCAGCATCTAGGTTTAATTCACTATTATAAAGGACAATATATTCTTAGTTTAAACAGTGAAGTTCTTGATGGACATAAAAGAGCAATGGCCAAAAGAAAAATACGAATAGATTCGAATTGTCTACACTGGACTCCTAAAGATTGGGCAAAAAGGGGGAAATGGTGACATGGTGTAACTAGCACTGTTTGTACATATCACTATGTAATATTGTATTATTATAACTGTTACTTAAAAGTTCATCATGTGGATAGGAATATATATAGAAATTGTGAACATTAGATTTTGAACCTAGACCCTAAAAAAGTGCTTATCAGAAAACAAACAAAMAAAAAAAAAAAAAAAAWTTAAAGTTGACAGACAATCTTTTKTCTTGAAGAGAGGCAGAATTATCTGTTATTTTTAGATCCAAAGATCAGAACTAAATAAATACACCATTATTTTGTAAGAATTTTGTAATATTTTGTTGCTTTCTTTATTCCATAAAGTATAACTGTCTATAAATTTGCAAGTTAATAAGTGTACATGATTGCATTTA